CACGATGTGAGGACACAGCAAAAGGGGAAGCCAGCCCTCACCAGGAACCTAACCTGCTGGCACGCTGATCTTGGACTTCCCAGCCTCCGGCACTATGAGAAAGAAACGTCTGCTCTTCAAGCCCCTGGTCCGTGGTCTTTTGTTACAGCCGCCCCTGCTGCCTGAGACAGTGGGCACTAACGCCCTACGGGCCTGGAGCTGCACATCTGCGTGGGAACTCGTGGCCTGGAGATGGAATTCAAAGCCACGCCACGAAGTGAGACCAAGGGCAGCTCTTTGGGTTTGGATACCGCGCAGGAGGGAAGGTCAGGCTGTAGGTTTCCCCCCCCAACCCCCCACTCCGGGGGGCAGGGTTGTTTATCCAGGCTGAGACTCGGGTAGGGCTGCCCTCTACTCACCCGCTTGAGTCACCCAAAGCCATTGGGCTTTGAACATCAAGTGGGCACAATTGACTCCCTGTCGATAGTCTGGGCCTGGAGGGTTTTTCCATCTGTACTCTGCCTTGTGACCCAAGAATCATTTAGAGATAACAGACTGGAGGGCAGTCTCTGGTGATGAAAATAGAGTTTTTCTTCCAGGCTCAGTTGACCTAAAGGCAGATCAAATGTGTCACCCTGACCACCAATCCATCAATGTGAGCGCCCCAGGCTGTGGCTGGGAGACTTAATCCATCACAGTGTCCACGGCCAACTGGCGGGTCTGTGTTCTATAGAAACCTTCCTCTCCCATCCCATCACCCCAGGAGGTACACAGACTGTCCACTGTGATGGGGGATGTTAGAACTTTGCTCACCTAAGCCTTTGAGCCTCCGTTTTCTTGCCTGTAGGAGAAAAATAATAATGGCTCTCCTTCCGAGGTTTGGTGGGAATCAGAATATGGTGTCTACCATGAACCTCCACTGATTAAGTCCTAGGAACTGGTAGCAAAGTTTGGGATTAGGTCCCCATTCCAACATCTACCAGCTGCATAAGCTTAGGCAGTGGCTTCAGCCCTCTGGGCTTTGATTTCTTTATCTGTACAATGAAAGAATGGCTGTAGTGAGCACCGCAGGAGGCCCTGATGAGACATGCCGGGCGGCTCATTAGTCGGGTTCCTGTGCCCAAGCCCCCCGGGGAGAGATGGCTTTCCCAGAGTATAGTTCCTAGAATCACCAGACTCCCAGAGACTGAGCTCCCGGGCAAAGACAGAGCAGGACCACCCCAGCAGGACCATCCCAGCTGCTGGGTGCCCCTGCCCTGCCCTTCAAGTGCCTATTGTGAGGCCAACAGCTGTCCCCATCAAGTGGCATCTCTGGGACACAAAGAGCAATGGAGAGGGCAGGGCACACTGGCTCCTTGTCCCTGGGGCTGAGTGGCAACAGCTGTGGGTCACTGGGGCTCCTCCTGACCCCCACCCGCTCCCAATGCCACGGCTACCCAGCTGCCAGGCCCATCCCTAGTGGACTTGGCACAGCCCTTCCAACAGCACCTGAACAGCACGGAGCCCCCCACTCCACAGCACCGTCTATCAGGGCCCTTGAAGAAGGGGAGGCACCGCAGACCTGGGAGCAGGACACCTGGGGCCTTGAGCATCGGGCCACACTCATTCCTAGCACCTCAGGGCACACTCCTCCTGGGAAGGGCTGCTCCCGGGATGTGTGGGTGATCGCACAGCCACTCATACTTCTCACTTGTCGGCCCCCCCAAGGAGGTCCGGCTGTGGGTCCCATTTTACTGAGGCAGAACCTGGGGCTCAGAGAGGTGGCTAAATGAGTGGCCCAGGATTATAGGCTGGGGACTGGCAGAGCCAGGACTTGAACCCTGGTCTGCCTGATGCCACAGTCTGTACCCTTTCCACGAACTCAGGGTGCCCAAGTGGCAAGTAAAGCAGATGCATAGATCCAGAAAGAAGGGTGTGGCCATATTCTGCCCCCAAAAAGCACTGGCCGTGATTGATTCAAGGCCAGGGGGCTGGGCACAATGACCTATGCCAGTTCCCGGTAGCCAGAGAATTCCAGGCCCCCCCTCCCCCGCCCAAGTGGCAAGTAAAGCAGATGCATAGATCCAGAAAGAAGGGTGTGGCCATATTCTGCCCCCGAAAAGCACTGGCCGTGATTGATTCAAGGCCAGGGAGCTGGGCACAATGACCTATGCCAGTTCCCGGTAGCCAGAGAATTCCAGGCCCCCCTCCCCCCGCCCNGCCATAAATTAATTAATTCATGAAAACACAAATGCTGGGGATAGCATCCAGGGCACAGAAGAGTGGATTGTGAGGTTCTAGAGAGGCCATCCCAGACCTGGGGCGCCTTGCTCCCAGCCCTGGCCCCTTCTCTAGGGCATCGGCAGCACAATGCGGGTGCCACCCCACTTGGGAGCCATGAGGTGGTAGTATTATATATAACGGGGTCAGGGATGGGTGGCAGGCAGTTCCCCTGCCCTGAACGGGACAGAGGGCATGCGAGGTGTGAGACCCACATCAGACTCCCGGTTGACATTAATTAGCTGTGGCACCTTGGCAGTCACCCAACTCCTCGGTGTTTCTATGTGCTCGTCTGTAAAAGGGGTGAGGCCTTCTAAACCTCAGTGTCTAAGTGGGAAGATGTATTGGTTTCCTGGGGCTGCCGCGACAGTTTGCCACAAAGGTCGTGGCTTAACACAACAGAAATGTGTTTTCTCACAGTTCTGGAGGCCAGAAGTCCAAGATCAAGGTTGGTTCCCTCTGAAGCCTCTGGAGGAGAAGCTGTCGGAGGCCTGTCTCCTGGGCTTCCATGGCGTCCCATGGTCACTGGACAACTTGTCTCCTCCCCTGTCTCCACATGCTCTCTTCTCTGGGCCTCTTCTGTATCTACGTGTCTCAAATCTCCCTCTCTTTTTTCTTACCAGGACACCAGTCATTTTGTTTAGGACTCACCCTAATTCCAAGATGATCTCACCTTGAGATCCTTAATCACACCCACAGAGACACAATTTCCAAATAAGGTCAAATTCACAGGTACCAGGGGTTAGGACTCGGACTACCTTTTTGTGGGGCGTGTGTGTGGGGAGCGGGGGGGGGGTGTACAATTCAACCTGCTATAGAAGGAATTTTGGAGAAGCAAAACCCATGAATGCCAGGTACTGTCATTCTCTTGCCGAACTAACGATGGAGCACTGGGGGAAAGACGTCCATCTCTGCCGCACCCTCCCCACACCTTGTACGGGCCGGGCACACAGAGGCGGGATGGGAGTCCAGGCGGAGGGTGGCACCTGGACTAGAGGAGGAAGGGGCGCTGGGCTAGATGGATGGAGGAGTCTCCCCTGGGGCCTCCTTCGTGCTCAGCCATCACGAATTCCTTTGGGCCACCAGTGGGCTGGAAGTCACCTCTGGCTGTATCTCTAGGGCTCTATTATTAGTGATCACCCCCTAAGCAGCCTCCTGTCCCTGTCTTTTCCCCGCAGTTCTTCCCCAGGGAGCTTTGCTCTCCTAGCCCTTCCTTCTGGGACTTTCCGCTGGCTTCTGGATAAAAAAAACCAAGTCCTAAAAGGTACCCCAGGTTCAGGCCCTACTTACTTCTCCAGTCTTGTCACCCACCACGCCCCGTTCTCTAAACCCATGCTCCCACCAGACCAAGGCCTTGTCCACCCCCTCCACCTGCCATGTTCCTTCCTGGCCCTGTGCCCTTGTACGGCTGGTCCCTCTCCTGGAACATTCCCCCCCATCATTACCAGGGTCCTCTCTGAGAGCCCTCCCCGCAGCCCCTCCCTGCCCATGCTTAGCGTGCCCCGTTACCGTTATCATCCTGTCACCATACCACCCCATTGAATAATTGTGCTGTTGAATGTGCCCCCCCTTGACTGGGCCATCCATCCCTGAGGACAGGGACACGGTCTTTCGTTTCGGGGTCCCCAGTCCCTCCTGTAGAGATGCTTCTCGGATGTTTATGGGAGGCAATCATCACGAGGCCTGGACTTGAATTCCATCGTCACCCCGTTTCCAACCCAGTGCCCTTGGCCTTGCTGGGCCTCCTCACCTGCCTGCCTGCCCTGCCAGGTTGGTGTGAGCCTTAAATGAGCCTGTGTTGACAGGTGAATGTGTTCTCGGACTGCTAATCAGGGCACACGAACAGGGCCAAGAGAAGCAAGGGCGTCGACCCGGGGACGCCCCTCGCCGCCTCCGCCAGCGCCCGTCCAGCTCAGCGCTCTGCCTCCCTGGGACTGTGGCTGGAGGAAGACCCAAGCTTCTAGAAACTCTTGAATCCCTTCCCTGCCCGTTCCCGCCTCGGCACCAGGTGTCTATCTCGCCAGCTGTTTTCTTTTCAGATCCAGAGTTCAAAAGAACAACAAATCTAGGCGCTCCGGCCTCGGGGAAACAAAGGTCGGCAGGCTCGTTCTTGTCGGCCCGCTGGGCCCGGCCCACCCTCCCGGCTGGTCCAGGAAGGAGGGCCGTTGGGCTCTGTGGGCATCGACGCCAATGCGACTCGGAAAACACCAGCTCCGGTTAGCGAGAAGGCCGGTTAGGGGGCCAGAGCAGGGGGAGGGGAAGGCCTGCCCTACTTAAGAGCTCTACAAAGCGCCTTTGAAAGCGTTTTCAGATGTCCCCAGCCCCGCGGGCAGGGGTGGCGTAATAATAATAAAACAACATTTGCATAGAGATTTCATTTACAAAGCACTTTCTCAGGGGTGGGAGAGGCTCTGGGGTGGCCCTGTGGAATCCTGGTGGGGAGGCTGTGGCCTCTGGTTGGTTCCGCCCCCCAACCCAGCGTGCGATTGTGTGCGAGGTAAACAAAGCCCCATTCATCCAACTGTTTCCGACTCCTCTGGGTTTCATTCCATCTCCCCTCTCTCCCGTGAAGAGCTCACTCAGGGCTTGTCACTCCGGCCAGAAAAGGGGTGCCAGGAGTCCCAGAGGGAGGGGCTGGCTGGGACCTGATTGGAGGGAAGGGGGAGGAAGGGGAGACTCCCTCCCTCGGCCTCCCCGCCCCGCCCCCACACCCTCTGGCTCCCAAACCCCTGCGAATCAGAACAGCCTGGCTGTGCTTTTGGTTTGTGCAACGCCTCGCTTGCTAACCTGGGTTGTGTCTTCATGTTGAAAGTATGGGCACAGGTTTGGTAATGTCTGTGCACATGCTGTGTGTGGGTTTGGGAACAAGCCGAGGTAAGCAGCATGTGGGTCTCTGCTAATCCCTCCCCAGCAGTGTGCACGGGGAGTAGGGCTGATTTACACAGTGTGGGCGTGTGGGGCCCTGGGGCTTCTGCACCTGTACTGGTGGGCGGGGTGAGGCAGCTGAGCCTAGAGTGTAGCCTGGCGCTCACCTGGCCACCGGGATCAGAGCCTGGCCCCTTAAGGGCCTCTAGGAGCTATATAGGGTCCACCTGCGGACAGGCCTGAGCAGCTCTTAGCAGACCCAGGAGATGGAAGAGCTCATTGCAGGGCTGGAGAGGTTCACCTTCACCTTTGAGAAGGATGTAGAGATGCAAAGGGGCACTGGACTCTTGCCTTTCCAGGGCATGGACAGTGAGTGAGGACAGGTGCCAGCCAGCCCTCTTGGGGACCCTGCACCCTCCTTCCCTCCCTCTCCCAGCCTGCTCTACAGGCCTCCGCTCAGCATCCTGATGGTGCGGCCCCTTGGGTGGCTGTCTGGGATTCCCGGCTTAGCCTCTCTCTTCTCAGGGGCTCAGGACCCCAGGAAGATGGCGCTGGCTTCCAGGCAGCCCACTTTCCAGGTCAGGAAAGCAGGAGGCGAACCAAGGAAAACCACACGGGCCTCCTGAGCTCCCAGGCTGGCCTCGGGCCCTCCCTGGCCTCTGTTTCAGAGCTGGGGGGCTTAGGTATAGAGGTTTGGAGGTTGGTTCCAAAGACCAGCATCCACAGGCAGGACTTGGGGGACCCCAGGTCCCAGCTCTGGGGGAGGGGGTTCGGGTGAACTTGCTGATGGGGTGAAGGCTCTCCAGCAGCCATGGCCTCTGGGGACCCTACCTCCTCTCTTCGCTTCTCCCCTTCCAGAGTCGGGCTCAGCCGTGTGCAATTTCTTCACTAAAGGACTCTGTGAGAAAGGTGGGTCCGCAGATGGCCTTGGGTGGGGTGGGAGAAGGGCTGTCTAGGCCACACTGGGTTCAGCGTGGCCTGGAATAGGGGATTGAATTTGCACCTGGGGAGGTGGAGTTGGGATGAGGCAGAATTTTAGTCTTATAAGTAGGCAAAGGGCAAGTGGGTGGGTCCATCACCCCACCCACCCCAAGAATTTCCCTGACGCAGTAACATTGATTAGGGTGGCTAGAGCTGCCTGGCAGGGGGCATTCCTTCTTCCCGCCTTGCTGGCAGGGAGGGTTTGTGGGTTTCAGCCTGTGTACTCCCCAGAGACACCTGGCTTTATTTTCTCCCCAGCCAGCAGAGTGGCACCTCCCCGCCCCACACTCTTGACCTCGGAATCCATGGGACCAGCTCAGCTGTTTCATCCATTCCTTACGCCCTGAGGTAGCTCTGGCCGCAGTCCCTGGAATGCTACCGACAGGCACCCCCTATTTCTCCCCCAACCCCGACTTGGATCGAGCAGTACCCTCTTCCAAGCCCCTCTCCCCAAATGCAGCCATTATGGGGTGGCCTGATTCAACAGGCACTCTCAACTTTTCTTCGGGCTCATGAATCACTACAGGCTCTTCCTATAGAAATACATAATTGCTCCCCAAAGTTTTGCCTCCAATTCGCGGGTTTCCAGTCCCCCTATAGACCCCAGTCAGTAACCCCTGCCACTAAGAATGAGCTTAGAACCTGCTTTTGGGATCCACGTGTGTCTGTTCTTGGGAGCTGGGGGGTCAGGAGGGGCCCCGGCAGGGAGAAACCTGGAGCCATTTTTGCCACGTTCCGTGTCCGTCTTTGGGCCAGGCCTGGACTGTGGGTGAAGGAAAAGGAGCTCGCTCGTCACTGGAAGCTTTGTGAAGCCAGGACCCAGTGACGCCTCCTCTGGTCCTGTGTCTTCCCCTTGGCCCATCCAGTCTCTGGAGCAGTAGTTCAGACTGACACCCTCTTGCAAAAAACAAAACAAAACTGTTTTTGTGGAAGGTCGGATCCAAGCAAGTCCATGGCCAGGGGAAGAGGGTTAGGCGATTTAAAAAGAAACTTCCCAGCCCCCCTCAAATCCTATCAGATGCATGAGGCTGGTCCTGCTTAGAAATTTGGAAACTGGGGCGTCCTTCCCGCTGATGGCAATGCTGCCTTGAGGAAGGTGATAAAGAGTTAAATATAATATTCCCATTTCTTCCTACAAAGTTGGCTCTTACATGTGAGGTCTCCGGGATCAGAAGCATAACATTTTTTTCTAAGACATGAATTCAATGGGCCCTAATGAGCACTTACCATGTGCCAGGGACTGTGCTGACTGGGGGCCCAGGGCTAGAAACCATGGCTCTGCTCTCTGGTAGGAGACCCACTGTAAGCCTGGAGAGGGGCGGGTGTAAAAGTGCTGCGGGGGGAAGTCTTGATAGTCAGGGACTTCCCAGGGTTTGAGAAGGACAAGGGCAGGCCAGGCAGAGAGGAAAGTGTGTGGTCATGGGAACAGCCATCTGTGAAGACAACAGCGTGTCCTCCATATTGCCTCCAGCTCTCAGTTCTAGCCTCCATCGGGGTCCAGGTGGAGAGAAGGGGGGAGGGGGCGGCTGCGGTCTGAGCTCTAGAACCATCCAGGGGAATTCCTTCTAGGGGTTGAGTCGGCCCGGGCTGTGCGAACATCGGGGTTCCCAGCTGGGTGCTCTGGTGTCCCCAGGGAAGCTCTGCCCGTTCCGGCACGACCACGGGGAGAAGATGGTAGTGTGTAAGCACTGGCTCCGGGGCCTGTGCAAGAAGGGCGACCAATGCAAGTTCCTGCACCAGTACGATGTCACCAGGATGCCTGAGTGCTACTTCTACTCCAAGTTCGGTAATGCTTCTTCTTGGCTCTGGCCCATCACCCCGGAGGGTGGCAGTGGGGGCTGTGAGACCGGAAGGTTTGGGAGGGACACCTTGCACGTCCTCGGTGGTGGACCAGGCCTGTCTGAACCTCAGGTGCCTGCCTCTCCAAAGCCCTAGAGAAAGTGCAACTGGACTCTGGTCCCTGTTTACCTGCCCACCAGACTCAGGCACACACCGCTTACCCCCAAGGGAAAGAGAGGGTGTGGTTGGAATCAAAGTCTGAATTGTTTCCCTCCCCAGTCCCGGCTAATCACACTCCCAGACTGACTGTCCAGAAATAAGCCCCAAATGGGACACCTCTCAGTCTTGGAGTTGGGGGCGGGGTGGGGTAGTGTCCAGGCCAGCGGTTCCCAAACAAAAGGCTTGCGAGGGCCACTTTCACGGGTTTGCCATTCTCCCAAAGCACCTGTACCATTGACCTGCACCACCGTCTCATCTTTCAACTCTCTTGCTATTTTTAACTCTTATTTTAGAAGAAAACTTTCCCTGGCTTCCATAGATGGAAAGCTAGCATCGCTGATTGGCAATAAAAGGTAACTGTAAACATCCAGCCATGAGGTTCAGACTGTAGCCCCTAAAAGTATCTTATGCGATCAGGTCTGGAGACCCAGTGTCTTGCCTCCCTCTGTCCTCAAGTCCTTCTTTGGTCATCCAGGGGGCCACCGAGGGGTGAAAGCCACAGCCACTTCCTGCCCATTTGAAGAAGGGAATTTGTGAACGTGTTGCCCACCCTATCCTTCTCAATAAAATTCTATAGCTCAGCGCTTTACAGAGCTGGAAGGAGCCTTAAGAATGATCTAGCCCAGTGGTTTTTAGCCTGTGCTCCAAAAAGAGCGACCCAGAGGGGGAGAAAGTGGGGACAGTCTCTAGGAATGCCTCGAACTGGGGTGGCTTGGCTTTGAAACTGAGCCCGCCCTGGGGGTCAGCTGTTCCTCATCAGAGTCAGTGTGTATGTGAGGGGTAAGGGGGGGGTCCTTGGTACGCACCCATAAGGCAAAGCACCTCCTAGGTCAGCAAGAGCTCCCCCCAGGAGGAAATCTGTGTCCTGCCTGCTCCTTGGAGTGGAGAGCTGTGGCAGTTTATGAGGGCTGCCTGCATGCATTCCTTCAAGGAGAGGACAAAGTTTACCTGGAGCCCAGCTCCCTGTACGCATTGCCTAAACCTCTTTCATTTTAAAATGCCACTTATTTACTCCTTTAGTAAACCGGGATTGGTTTTCTTTTGGGGATTGGGTACTGTGTTGGGCATGGCTACGGGAATAGGACCAGGTCCCCTTCTGCCCTCAAATAACTCCCGTTGTGAGGGGCAGACATGTGCATCGGTCGTTATACGACGTAACCTGTTTTTGCTCTTAGAGTAGATGGCCAAGTATTTCTTTCCAATATCATACCAAAGTAGTTATCGTTCTTGTTGGGAAGCACATTGTCTTATTTTTAAAAATACTGCTGGGGAGTGTAGGAGTAGGAAAGGGCAGTTAAAAGGGGCTTCTGGAAAGTCCAAGGTCTTTGGCCCTGCTCCTGGCTGCGCGCCTCAAAAAGGCACGCCAGGTGTCTCTGGAGAGTGAGCTGCGGGCGCCACCTGCTGGCCGTAAGAGGAATGCAGAGCCGTGCATCCAGAGCAGAAAGGTGACACCAGCGCACGCATGACTTGCTGTTGTCTCCATCTATCTAATGTTCACCAGCCCTAGGTGTTAGGTCACTTCGATTCCTTCGAAGGCTCAAGCCCAGAGTCAGCTGCCCACTGACGATGAGCAAGTAAACCCCTTATCAGTGTGAGGAAGCAGGGTGAAAATGGATGGACATGGCGTCTCCCCTCTCTCAGGACGTGTCCTCGTTTGTGAAATGAATGCTGGGAAAGAACTGTGGTTTAGCGGTCTTAGGAGTCTGCGGTGCTCTTTCTCAGGTGAGCCCGTGCTTTGCAGAAGCCCACGGTATGAAACAGATCTCTTTGGAGCAGCTGGAAAACCAGTGGCATAGACACGATGGAGCTCCTTTGGGCTCTGAAAAGCACCCAGTTGTAGACTTTTCAGGAGGATGAGATTAGAAACACTTGCGGATTCTTGACTTGAATGAGGTGACAAGTGGGCTGACTCGTCCCCCAGGGTGACTTCAGTGGCCCTGGATCCCCGAGAGAAAGCTAAGAGGGTTCTCACAGCAACTCTCCAGGAGTCTATGCAAACGGGGCTGGCTCCTTCCAGGACACACGAGTCTTGATCTGAGCCATAGACAGGTGACAGCATGGGCTTAGGGTACCTACAGGTGTCTTCTGTGCAGCGTCTATGTTCATCCTTGTGCCAACTCTAAAGCAGGGCTCTGCTCTTCTTGGCAATTCCACTGAAAAACAGCTGCACCCCTAGACTCTGGCAGCCGTGCTGGTTTTGTTGTAGAGAAGGCTCTAGTCACAGCGCAGGCAACATTTCCATTCAGTGTCTTATGTCTTTTTGGATCTTCAGCTGCCAGCTCTGGGTCACCCCTGCCCCATCTCTCCTCCTTCCTTCTTCTTCCTTTTTTTTTTTTTTTTTAACTGGGGAATTGGGGAAGGGGAACAGTGTTGGGGAATTGGGGAGGGGGACCAGCCAAGTTGTTGTTCTTCAATCTTAGTTGTGGAGGGCGTCAGTTGCCATCTGGCTGTCGATGCGTTGGCAGCTCGTGGTCCCTATGCTCAAGGTGCTGTGTTCAATCTTAGTTGCGGGTGGGTGTAGCCACCATCCCATGCGAGAGTCAAACCCAGCAGCCTTGTTTTTAAGAGTGTGCTCTATCCACTGAGCCATCCGGGCAGCAGCTCAGCTCTCAAGGTGCCGAGTTCAGTATTGTGGGCAGGTGTAGCCCACCATCAAACAGGCAGCCTTGTTGTTAGGAGCACCTGCTCTCACCAGCTGAACCATCCTGCCACCTGTTGGCAGCTCAGCGGCAACTCAACTCAGGAGCAGCATCACTGGCCCATGTGGGAATCAAACTGGCAGCCCTATTGCTCAGAGCTCGCACTCTTAAGCTAACTCAACCAACTGAGCCACTTGGCCGGCCCTCCTTCCTTCTTGATAGCATCTAAATACCTTTAGTTCCGGTCCGTCCTGGATATCTGGTCCTATCCCAACTCTTCCAGATGCGTGTATTCATGCCCAAGTCCTACCAGGCGAATATTATTGGGGTCCACACTTCTTAGATTGCAGGAAGGATTAGAAATACCTTACTATCTTCAAAAGCTGCTGGCGACCAGGAGGAAGGCAAGTGGTTTATATTCAAGGGGCAGAGTCAATCCAGTTTGGGGGGGGGCGGGGGTAAGGATGTGACCATCAAGATGAGCCTGCTTATACACAAAGAATGCTGGAATTTTCAGGTGAATGCAGCAACAAGGAATGTTCCTTTCTTCACATGAAGCCAGCTTTCAAGACCCAGGACTGTCCTTGGTACGACCAAGGTTTCTGCAAGGATGGTGAGGCCCTGACAGAAAGGGAGCACTAGGGGATTTGGGTGACCAGGCTGGGGGGTCTCCCCCCAGGGGAGGTTGCTTTTTGCTGATGAGGCCCCGTGGGAGTGGGGTCTGTCCCGGGGTTGAAATCCCAAGAGAAGGCCCTTCCATAGTTTTCTCTAGGCTCGCTCCAGAGGAAAAGCCCTCTGTGACACTATGATATGCAGCCTGGGGTGGCGGATGATAGGCTCTTTGGAGCAGACTTACTTGGGTTCAAATTCCAGTGGCTTCAGGATATATCGGCTGTGTGACCTTGAGCAAATGACTGAACTGCTTGTTTCCTCACTTAGGAGAAGGGAAAATGCCTCCCTCATAGGGTTGTTGGGCTGCTCGGATGCAGGACCCCATGGGGAGCCGTTGGCATAGGGTGTGGCCATAGGGGACGCTCAGTTCACATGCGCTCTATTCTCTATTCCTTTTATCCACCTGGGGGTGTTCTGAGCGCCACTTAAGCATGTTCCACCGACCCCGTTACAGTCAGCCAAACTTAGGAGGCAGGGCCCCCGGCAGAGTCCCTGTGCTCTTAACACCTGTGCCCTTTCTCCCCTGTGCTTTCAGGTATGTGGTTCTGAGTTCCTGGCAGTGTTGGTTTGGGGAGCCCCTCGAGGAGGGGTGCTGAAGGAGGATTAGTAAGATGCGGGGTTAGCCTTCTCAGCGGTACCTTCTATGGCTAAACAAATAAACAGTGGCAAATTACGGTCCACGTCCATTAAGTCTTCCAAGACACAGTGTGTTGGGGACACTCCCCATCCTCCACATTCCGGAGGTCCCCGTTCCCATCTCAGTCACGTGGCTGGGAAATGCTTTGGGGCAGTATGGGAAGAGCAGGAAGATTTATACACCCCCGTTACGTGGAGAGCCTATGACCATCCATAGCCTGTCTGGTGAGCTTTGTCATGTGTGTTTTCCCTCTTTGCTAAAACCATCCGTCTGGCCGGTTTCTCTTTGCCCGGCAGGTCCCCTGTGTAAATACCGCCATGTCCACAGGATAATGTGCATTAACTACTTAGCTGGCTTCTGCCCTGAGGGACCCAAGTGCCAATCTGCTCAGTAAGTATGACCCCACCGAGTGCTGCATCCTTCTGGACTTTCACTGGCCCAAGGTGGGAAATGAAGTGTCTGGCGAGCACCAGTGTTTTCCTTGCATTGCTCCCGCCGCCCCCACTGACACCCACCCCTTCGCGGTGCTGCTGGTTGGCTGCACTGAACTCTAACCCGTGCTGGTAATGTTCGTGCTGGGGATGGGCACAGACTGTTCTAGAAATAAGAGTAGAAACATTGAAGACCCAGTCCTCTGCAATGCTCCCTCACTCCCCGGCTAGGGTTAGGACCCTTCCTATGGGGTGTGAAATAGGAAGTCTGCCGCAGGCTGGCTAGAGGGTTAGAGAGCCAGGCTGTAATTGTCTCTCTCTACTTCCTCAGTCCCAAGATGAATCTTTTATTCAACCCAAGTTACATGAAGGTGAGTGTAGGCAGGCAGGGGCCGACATGTCTCACGCATGCGTTCCCTGGGGAACTCTGAGTCCCTAGCACTGCACCGTCCCCAACTGTCCTCGCTCTCACACTATCGGCTCCGAGTCCCAATGGTGGGAAAGGCACACGCCATCGCGCGCGTGTGGGACACATACGTGGTTGTTCCTCTCAGACCCCCTCCAAACTCTGTAATCGCTGCTTCAGGTAGGACTTACCAGCTCACAGCTCGGAGCCTTTCCTTCTCCTCAGCTGGTAACACGTGTGCGGTTCTGTTGAACAACACGGACCCCACTCAGGACTTGTGGTCCACAGCTGTTACCGAGAATCAAGGCCATCCCGGTGTGAGCCGGTCCCGTGGGACCAGAGCTCTCCCTACCCATCACAGGCGCTAATGACAGCCTCCCGCGGGGTCAGCAAACTATGGCCTGAGGGCCAAATCCAAGCCCTTGTATGTTTTTTGTACAGCATTCACCTTGACCTAAGAATGATTGCTACGCAACTCTTATTAATTAGCGGCCGGCCCTATGTCTGGTCAATTAGCAAGACGGCCCAGCACCAAGCTGGGATGGCGATGGCCCCGGCGGGGGGG